AGTGAATTTGGTCCTACATATCAGATATTTACATTACAATTCATAACAGTAGCAAAATTATAGTTATGAAGTAGCAACAAAACAATGTTATGTCTGGCGGTCACCACAACATGAGGAACTGTTTTAAGGGGTTGCGGCATTAGAAAGGTTGAGAAACACTGCACTAGGAACTCTCTGTCTGGAAGCATCTTCAATTGCAAACTTATTCACTTAGTGCATCTACATCAGGCATGGGCAAACCCAGGTTTGTGGGCTGGATGTGGCCCTTTAGGGCTTAGGCTCTTGAGTCTGGCCTCGACACCAGTCGCGTGTCATAGCCCTGGACCCTGCCAAAGTCCTCCCAGTCACACACAGCTGCACAGATCCCTCTCTCAAGAGAGAGAGAGCTTTGTACAGCTACATGTCAAGTCATCCTCTTCACAGGAGGACATGGTGGGCTGTTGTGTCCTCCCACAAAGAGCGCCCTGCAAGACACACAGCTGTGTGGGACTTTTTCAAGAGCCCTGTGCAGCCATGTATGAAACCCTTCCCCCCTCTCATGCCAATCAGAACAAGAGACAGGGCCTTCTCAGTAGTGGCCCCTCGACTGTGGAATGCCCTGCCTAGGGATACAAGATTGGCCCCCTCCCTTCTGACTTTTCTAAGAAAGGTTAAAACCTGGCTTTTTGAGCAGGCCTTTACTAATGCAGCACAATTATACGAAATCATGGAACGATTTGACAATGCCATTGAATAATGGCTTTGACAAGGAGACACTAATGACAATGTTTTTATGGCTTTTACGGTTTTTTATATTTTTATATTTTATGCTAAATGTTTTAACATTATTTTATTATTGTTTTATTTGTTTATAATTGTTGAGGCATCAAATTGTTGCCAACTGTGAACCGCCTTGAGTCGCCTCCGGGCTGAGAAAGGTGGTATACAAATGTGGTAAATAAATAAATAAATCATGCCCCGACCTCCCTCCCATGCCAACTGCCCCCTGGCCTTTCCCCCATATTTTATTTATTTGTGGTATTTTTATACCACCCTTCTCAATCCCGAAGGGGACTCAGGGCCATTCACAGTGTTGGCAACAATTCAATGTCATTGATAAAATACAGTATAAAACATCAAAATTGACCCTCCCCTAATAAAACATTAAACATTATTAAATACAGCACATAAAATCACATATCACACAAAGACATAGCTGTTGTTTGTAAACAGCCCTGGGTCAATGAACTTTCAACTTTCACTTTAAATATTCCTATAATGGGCTGAACGCGTAGTTCCACAGTCAGGTCTTTAGCTGTCTTCTAAAGGTCAGGAGGGAAGGGGGCCAACCTGATCTCACTGGGGAAAGAGTTCTACAGCTGTGGGGCCACCATCGAGAGGGCCTTGTCCCTCGTCCCCACCAGCTGCACCTGTGAGGCCAGTGGGGCCAAGAGCAAGACCTCCCCAGAAGATCTCAATCTACAAACTGGTTCATAGAGGGAGATATGTTTGGGCAGGTAAGTTGGATCAGAGTCGTTTAAGGAGTCGTATCAACCTGCTCAGCCCTAGCCCAGCAGGCAGCCCCCTTTTTAAAAAGTTTGCTCATGCCTGATCTATACTGTAGAATTAGGTACTTTAATTGTGATGGGATGACAGTAATTGTAATTTTGCAAGACCTTTAGTATTCTTGGTGAGGTACCAGCACACTAGCAGAGAAAGCTAAAGACCTCGTAAAATCACAACTCTTATATTCCACAGCATTGCACAATAGCAGTTCAGTGTCTCTTTGTCTTGAGCTTCGCCTGGCTAGTAGTTGGTTTGCACCTAGGGCAGTCCCAGATGGGATCGGGAGGCTCTTTGATTAATGCTGCTCCTGCAGAATGGCCAGATGGTTCCTGCCCAGGCTGTACCCTCCACCTGAGTTGGACATTCCTGGAAACAGCCACATCTGACTTGGGTCAGGCAGAGGTGGAAAAGTTAGTGCACCTTGTCCTTTTCTTAATATTTATATTATGAAAAATACATTTCATAAAAGAGATAGGGAAGGGAGGTAAGGAATATAAGGCAATCAAAGCAAATCATGTCAGTTACATTCAATTGAAGGCATTAAAACATTTTTTTCCTTTTTCTGGCTGGTATTTAGCTGGTATTTTGCTCCTGCGCACATGCGCAGATATGGACCAGTGAATTATGACCGATAGGTCCCTGATGGTTATCTTTGTTTAAGGATTAGTCCAAAAGGTCTTGGAAATTCCTTTGTGAGGTTAGCTGGAGGTAGTGACCCTAGCTCTGTCTCGGGCGAGAATCATAACTGATCAATATATTTTGACATACAAGTGTCAGCGCTGAGTCCAGGAGGACTCCCAAACTGCGGACCTGTGATTTCAGGGGGAGTCCAACCCCATCCAGCACAGGTTGCCACACTACACCCCGGTCAGCCAAGTGACTGACCCCTGTCTTGTCAGGATTGATCCTCAGCTTGTTCTTCCTCATCCAGGTCGCCACAGCAGCCAGGCACTGATCCAGTATCCGGGGAGCTTCCTTGGAATCTGGTGGAAACGAGTAGTGGAGTTGGGTGTCATCTGCGTAGAGATGGCATCGTACTCCAAAACTCCGGATGACCTCTCCCAGTGGTTTCATGTAGATGTTAAATAGCTTGGGAGACAGAATAGAACCTTGCGGGACCCCACAGGTCAATGGCCAGGAGTCCAAGCAGGAGTCTCCCAGCTTCACCAACTGGGAACGACACTCCAGGAAGGACCGGAGCCACAGTAAAACCGTGCCCCCGAGTCCCATCCCAGCGAGTCTTCCCAGCAGGATACCATGGTCAATGGTATTGAAAGCCGCTGAGATATCGAAGAGAACCAGCAGGGTCACACTCCCCCCATCCAGTTCCCTGCGGAGGTCATCCACCAAGGCGACCAAAGCCATCTCGGTCCTTTGCCCAGGCCTAAAGCCAGACTGCGAGCGATCCAGATAATCAGTGTCATTGAGGAATCCCTGAAGCTGCGAGGCAACCACCCGCTCCAGAACCTTGCCCAAGAAAGGGAGGTTGAAGATTGGTCTGTAGTTGTTACATACAGTCGGGTCAAGGGTTTAACAAAGGTTTTACCACCGCCTGCTTAAGGCAGGTCGGGAATTTACCCTGGGCCAAAGAGGCATTTATTATTGCCACAAACCACTCCAACAACCCCTCTCTGGCCAGCTTCACTAACCAGGAAGGGCAAGGATCCAAAGTGCACGTGGTCACTCTCACAGTCCCAAGGATCCCCTCCACGTCATCAGGTAGAACAAGCTGGAAGGAATTCCATAAGATCGGACAGGCAGATGCCTCGATTACCTCATCTGGCACTGCATTTAAGACGGAGTCCAGCTCAAGGTGTATCTGAGCAACTTTGCCTGCAAAATGGTAACAAAACAACATAAGCATAAAATTATCACAATAACACATGTATATTAAAAATAATCCTGCCTATTCAGAGCAATTAAAAGCTGGACCAAGGGTAGTGCAAACTCAAAATATGAAGGGACTGGGAATCAAGAACAGTGCTATAACAGGCTAACGGCAATAGCAGGTACGAGTCTGTGGCTGCTCATTTCCAGGGCCTATTCGAGGGATGACTGAGGTAATAGGTAGGAAGTATAAGGCCATATTCAACAATGTTTGGGCTGAATAAGGATAAGAATAAATAAAATTGATTTCCTGTCTTGTCGAAGGTTTTCATGGCCAGAATTACTGGGTTGCTGTGAATTTTCCGGACTGTATGGCAATGTCTCAGAAGCATTCTCTCCTGACACTTTGCCCACATGTATGGCAGACATCCTCAGAGGTTGTGAGGTCTGTTGGAAACTAGGCAAGTGAAGTTTATATATCTGTGGAATGTCCAGGATGGGAGAAAGAACTCTTGTCTCTTTGAGACAAGTGTGAATGTTGCAATTGGGAAATTATTGTTTCCATTTGACGTTTGATGTTTTGTTTTATGTCTGTTATAACAGGCTGTGCTTTTTATTTAATTTTAATTTGTTAAGTTATAATTCGTATTTATATGTTGGGTGGTATAAATTTTGTTAGTATGGATGTATTGTTGTATTCGGACATTGAATGTTTGCCTTTTATGTTTGGAATCCATCCTGAGTCCCTTTGGGGAGATAGAGCAGAATATAAATAAAGCTATTATTATTATTATTATTATTATTATTATTATTATTATTATTGAGCCCCCAGTGGCGCAGTGGGTTAAACCCCTGTGCCGGCAGGACTGAAGACCGACAGGTCCCAGGTTCGAATCCAGGAGAGAGGCAGATGAGCTCCCTCTATCAGCTCCAGCTCCTCATGTGGGGACATGAGAGAAGCCTCCCACAAGGATGACAAAACATCAAATCACCCAGGCGTCCCCTGGGCAATGTCCTTGCAGACGGTCAATTCTATCACACCAGAAGCGACTTGCAGTTTCTCAGGTCGCTCCTGACACGACAAAAAAAATTATTATTGGCCACCTTGATTAGCATTGAATGGCCTTGCAGCTTCAGAGCCTGGCTGCTTCCTGCCTGGGATAATCCTTTGTTGATTTCACTGACTTTAGCCATTTATTTTTGTTTAACCTATTACTCACATTCCCATGCTAAATAACACACACAAAGTTCGGGATCTGGGGCATCTTTGCCAAGCCAATCTAAACCTTTCGTTATTTTCCCCTTGTTTTCTTTTATTTAAATGCCAAGCGGGTGCGTGGGTGAGGGTCTAAAGTTCTCTCGGAAGTTCTTAGTCCAAATCGAAGCGTGGTCAGTCTACATATTAGTATATCTATGTTTTTCCCACTCCTCGGTGGGACAACCTGGGAAACGAAACAGAAACTCTAAGTTCTCCAGAGGGGCGGGGGCGGGGGAGGGGGGGGGGAAAGAGAGGGTAAGAGTTGAGTAGTACGGACGCTCATTTGAATACAGCCACGTCACTCGCGTTCCAAAGGCTGCGCGCGCGCTGGCTCGCGAAACGAAGAGCGGAAGAAGAGGAACGCGCCTGCGCAAGAAGAGGAACCCGGAAGCGGCACCCGGCGCACAGCGTGGCCGCTCGGAGGAGCGACAGGAGCCGGTTTCAGGGGGCGGAGTGGGGTCAGCGCCTCCCTGTTGCGCCGGGCCTCTGGTTACCTGAAAGGTGAGAGAAGGGGAAGAAGGCGGCGGCCTCTGCAACATGCTTTGCTCCCATATGGGCTTCTGTGTTGAGTCCATTGGAGCTCCTTCCCAACTCCAGGTGCCTGGGTCGCAGAGCAGAGGGTTTGGCCTCGCTGCCCTTTCCTCCTCGGACAGATTTCCTCCTGGCTTTCACGGAGCCTGATCCCCAAAAGTGGGAATCCTACCTACATATTCAATTAATCCTACAGAAGAGGTTCCCCGCCCCTCATATATATATATGGGCAAACTTCGTCCCTCCAGGTGTTTTGGACTTCAACTCCCACAATTCCTAACAGCCGGCAGACTGTTAGGAATTGTGGGAGTTGAAGTCCAAAACACCTGGAGGGACGAAGTTTGCCCATGCCTCCTATATAGTCTCTTAACAGGTTACACAGATTATGTCCCTGAAACGAAGTACTCATGGAAGTTGCCCTTTTATAAGTTCTTCAGCCTTCTCTGCCAAAAAGTGCTGGTGCTTCGCTGAACTACAAACTCCAGAATTACATACATAGTATTCAATCATTCAATCATTAAAGTGGTGTCAAATTCCTAGAGAGGGTTTCCTCAAATAATAATAAAAATATATAAATGCCTTTATTTGAAGTTTTGCACTCTCATGAGGGCCCTGTGCCCCTACCCCAGAGAATGGAGGGTTGATTATATGTGTTTGGGAGTTATTTATTTATAGATTTTGGAATATATGCATATGTATACTGAGACCTCAGTGGGTTAAACCTCTGAGCCGCTGAACTTGCCGACTGAAAGGTCAACAGTTTAAATCCAGGGAGCGGTGTGAGCTCCCGCTGTTAGCCCCAGCTTCTGCTAATCTAGAGTTCCAGAACATGCAAATGTGAGTAGATCTATAGGTATCTCTCCAGTGGGAAGGTAACGGCGCTCCATACAGTCATACTGGCCACATCACCTTGGAAGCATCTATGGACAATGCGGGCTCTTTGGCTTAGAAATGGAGAGGAGCACCCCCCCCCCGAGTCAGACACAATGAGACTTAATGTCAAAGGGAAACTTTTACATTTACTTATACTGCGATATCTTGAAGATGCTATTTCTTCAATCTGTTAGTGAATTCCCACCCTTACTAAACAATTAGCAATTCATTACAGCAACGCACTCTACATAGGGCTACCTTTGAAGACAGTTCAGAAACTACAGTTAGTCCAACAGGCGGCAGCCAGATTACTAACAGGAGCTACATACAGGGAACATACCACCCCCTTGTTGTGTCAGCTCCACTGGCTGCCTGTCCACTTCCGAGCTCAATTCAAAATGCTGGTTTTGACCTATAAAGCTCTATAGGGTTCTGGCCCAGCTTACTTGTTCGAATGCATCTGCCTCTACGTCCTACCTCGTAACTTAAGATCATCTGGGGAGGCCCTGCTCTCGCTCCCACCAACATCACAAATGCAGCTGGCGGAGACGACAGGGCCTTCTCAGCTGTAGCCTCCCGCCTGTGGAACGCCCTTCCAAATGAAATACAATCAACCCCATCCCTCCTGGCGTTCAGGAAGAAATCTTCGTTTTGGGACCAGGCTTTCGGACAATAAACATAAAGCAGTACTTTGACTGGAAATGGATTGGCAAGACGATATGTATGCGGATGTGGTTTTATTGTTCTATCTGTGGGTTTGTGGGCTGAGTATTGTTTTTAATGACTGTTATGACAATTTGGTTATAATTAATTGCTACTTTCTTAACTCTGTATGTATTTATGGTTTTCTACTGTGTTATTGATTGTGGCATCAAATTGCTGCCTTTGTTAGCCACTCTGAGTCCCCCCCCCCCCCCGGGGAGGGGGGGTTGAGAAGAGTGGGGTAAAAATGCTATAAATAAATAAATAAATAAGATAGGCAAAACTCTTTAAGCCCAAACTGTTTTCTTTTTCTTTTTGATTTCCTGTTTGAGTTGGCAGTTGGCCTTCTATATCTACAGATTCTGCATCCTTGGATTCAACCATTTAGAAGGTGAAAATATCACCCCCTCAAAAAATGCCCAAAAGCAAACATTGATCTTGTCATTTTAATGTAAAAGTTGCTGTTTTACTACACTGTTGTCTATAATGGAATTTGAGCAAGAAAAAGCTGACTAGAGGTTTACAATTGTTTGATCATGTGAGTAGTGTGTTGTTATGCAAGGTTGGCACTTTGAGTTGGAACTTTGAATACTTTCCATAAAACTGCAATTTAAGATGGAATTTGTAATACTGATTTTCATCATTATTAAATCTTTTTCTTAAGTATATTTGCCCTCCCATAATAACATTAGCTAATATTAGCTGTCAAAAGTTGTAGACATGTTTTGGGACAATGTATAAGAGAATCCTATATGCACCTGGGGAAGTGTTCAGAGACCCATTTAGCCACTTTGGACCCTGTAGAAGTATAGAAATGTGATATAAATTAACCAAATAGTAAATGTGTTAATTCTTAACTGAGTCCCAGTGAACCCTGTTACATTTATTTGGCTGCTAAGTCAGTTACTTAATAGGCTTGGAATGTTATGGTCCATTGCTCTTGTGGTAGAGGGCCATATTCCTCACAGTTAAGATCACAGCTCTGCAGTGTAGGCCTGTTCATGCTAATTTAGAAGAACCTATTGATTTTAGTGGAGGTTCATACTAATTGAGTTTGGATGCTGTTATTATTGTTGTGGAATTCTGACTGACATGTATGGTTGTAAACTTGAATGCCGTAATGGTCAGTTATCAAATGAAGGTTGGAAACACCTAGATAGATTTTGAACATGACTTCTGAAATCAGTCTGCCTCTGAAAGGTCTTGAGTTTTGTTTTTTGTGGGTTTTTTTTAAGTGATGGCAGTCTTTTTCTTGGCAAACTGGCCACATCACCCCTTGTCTCTTGGATTTCATTGATTTTTGGTTCCATTGTTAGCAATGGAAAGCAGCAAAGGTGGAATTAATAGGTGCAAGATGGCTTTATTAATGAGCTGATTTGTAATGAGTTGCAAATATGACTCGTGGTTGACAGAAGCCAGTTATCAAATAAGTACAAAAAGTGAATTCTAGTTTTCTTTTGTTTATTGGACAAAATTTATTTATTTACACTAGTAAACATTAAGTGGAATTGCATCTCTTCAACAGTTTTCTTCCACACCTTAGTATCTGTGTTCAGTGGAGAAGTAGCCCTTCTACTGCCATCTAGAGAGGCTTCAGTCTAAATAAGATTGGCAAAACAATTAAGATGATCAGCCATGTCAGTTGTCTAAACCAGTGGCAAGTGTGCCATATTGCAACTTGTGCCAGCCCTAACCATTGGAGCCACATGCCATCTGTACTTGGAAGGATGCATTGTTCGTCCTAACTAAAAACTATTGTATGTGCTCATGTATAAGCAACCTTGTTTTGCTTATTGCAAATTTTGGAACCAAAATTATGAATTTTGCTTTTACCCATAGATAAGGTGAGGGCAAAGCCTAGGAGTGTATAACAAATATTTTCCATGAAGGCAATGATAAGAAGTGTTGTATTGTTATGTTGTGTTTTGAGGCCTTGGCCTTTGTAAGCCGCATCGAGTCCTTCAGGAGATGCTAGCGGGGTACAAATAAAGTTAATAATAATGATAAGAAGAAAAAGAAGAAGAATAAGAGGCAGAGATGAGAAGTGCTCCCACCACCATTACCCCATTACGGATCGTATTGTAAAAGATCTTTATATGTATATCTCTTGAACACTTGAGTCTTAATTTTTATTTGGAATGTACAATATTATCATCAAATATTCCATAAGCCTCAAGTCTTTAAAAAAGGAAAAAAACAGCACACCAGGAATGAGACCTTTATTTCACAATACAGGAATATTTATGATACATGTGTGCATACTTACAGGGCAAAGTGCAGTGGGTTTTCAGTGCTGGCAGAACAATAGAATCCAAATTAATCTAAATTCTATCCTGTTTGATCTTTTTGTTGCCATCCTGTCCACATGGAGAAAGGCCAGTTGCATTTGAGTCTTCTTTTATGCTACTTTTTAAGTGTCTGAGGAAGAAATGTTGGATTTCCTACAAGCTGGGTGAACAACATTGGAAAAGTCTCTTCTACCTACCAGAAGCCATTGGAAATGCGGAGAAAGTGCTGCCTAAACCTGCAGATCTCTCCCTTTCCCCTTCCCCAAAATCCTAAATTTGTTGGTCATTACCTCCTCCCTAGTCTAGTAGTCTCTCCCTTTTATTTAACAGATCTCTGGTTTTGGTTCACCAGAGAAGGTTTTTGCAAGTTATCCTTACAAGCTTATCTATGCACAGGCAGAAGGAGAACAGTTTTCAAATGGTCATGATCAGGGCTCTAGACTCGTATTTAACTCCTGTGTTTACATACAAGTAGCAGAGTTTTGATAGGTAAAGTGTGGATTATTTTTGGATAATTTATTGGCAAACCTGATGCTCAAAGGAACGTATGAGCAAATAGGGTGCTTAATTAATGTCACATGAAACCATTTGTTTTCTTCTTTTTTGAAAAGGAAGTGCTGTTTTAAGCATTGGGGGCACTTTGTCTCCCTTTGGCTTGCATGTAAAGGAGGAGAAAAGTAACATTCTTTTCCAGTTGGAATAAACCACTGAGTCCTATTGTGTTTCAGTATGAGAAACTGTATCTTGGATAGTAAATGCTGTAGCAAACTGGAATAACAATGATTTTAGATCTGAGTTTGTGCTCGTTACTCAAATGAGAAATCTTCACATCACAAAAGGAAACTTTATATTTTCTTATATTCATAGGTGAATGAGAGAAGCGAGTGTGTGAACTCAAGCTTGATTGCATTGCATTGTTCAGAGGAGACATCTGAACTAATTGGATCTGTTTTTATCTCTTGAGGGTTGATTTGAGGGCCCTGGTAGCCTTATGTGATAAATACTTAAAGAAATATGGTAAAAGGTTTGTGTGATTTTTTAAAAGAAATTGTGTTCTTAAAAGCAAATATTGGTTATTTTAATGTTCATCTTAAAAATGGACATTGTCATAACTGTATTGATGTGGCAGTATTAAAAACTGTTGTTATCCAAGACTTGGTTCTTTCTCATGCCTAGAAAATGCAATGCATTTTCCTCAGTCATTAAAAATAATTTAAAATACTATTTTTGCCCATTTATAATTATGTTGGAAAGAGGACGATAACTAAACTGTGCCTCATCTGTGTTTGAGGCGGTAAATCATACCAGCTTTGTTTGATGTGACAAATACGGATTCCCGGTGCTTTCATGACTGACATGTTCCTTGTATTGCCTCACACTGAAAAACAGCACATTTGGGCTAAATCCAATATTAGCCTTACCTAAAATATAGTACTGAAATGAATGCAAGTTGCTAGTGCTATCTTAGTACCATTTATTTTAGTTGATCTTCTATAGGTAGAACTTTCACTAGGTTTATCTATCCATTGATTAAAATCCTTATCTTTATCTGAAATGTTGCTGAGGTACTGGCAAAGTTTAATTCTGGTTTTGTTGATCTTTTTAGGAGGTTACATATTGAAGATGAATGTAGTTTGTCATCACATGGATCGCTGAATGGGTAATAAATGGCCCTTCCTCGACTAACAGGAGCACTGCGCTCCTTTTCAAATGTCACTAAACAAGATGATTATAGTGAAGAATCTGCTGATTTAACGGTAACTTATCTGGATGAAACTTGAATATTGGAGAAATATTTTAATGTCTTGGTTTACATAAAATGTTCAATTATTTTTATTAACAAACAGTCACAGATAGCAATATTAGAATATTTTTCTTCTTCTTCTTTTACATAAAGCTGACATTTGGGATGCTTGTACAAAATCTATAACTTTAGAAAAAAAGTAATGCATCTTCTGGTTAACCCTTGCTGACTGTAGTGGGACACCAGAAAGTAACATTCTGTGGATTACAGCCTGTGAATATTTATCCAAATAACTGTACAGAATTGGTTACTACATTATCAATATTCTGTGAATGATATTACCTTCTGTTTCACCACAAGTAGCTGACATAAGTTTGATTATTGGTAGATCAATTCTTCACTTCATTGCATGTGATGTAATTACTGTCTTGGGGATTACAAGTGTTTTTTAAAATAGTTTTTTGCTTTCTAAAATGGGAATGGAGATTGAGCTACTAGACTCTTGGTACAGAAAAACTAACATATTTAATGGGTAGAAGACACTCCTGAAACAAAGGCAAAGTAGCATAAATAATGCTACTAGTTTTTTCCCCAAAGTCATTGCCAGTCAATCCAGTCTTTTTCTTCACAGTAAATTGAGAAACAAATTGCTATCTGGCAATTTGATACTGAGATGCCACCTACGCCTGCGTCTACCCAAGCACTTCAGGCAGATCCTGATTTTCATTATGTCAGTATAAGCCCAGAGTAACACTTCTGGATTTCCTTTTATTCCAGTTTTTCATCACTATAACTAGAAGAGCAATTTGGCCCTTTCTTCCCGTGTCATCTGAAATAGTGCACTTATACAACTAAATGAACCATTAAAAGAGAATCCATTCTTTGAAACAAGCATCAGCAACAACTAATATAGCATAAATTGGAGGAACATTTTGTACAGCACTTTAATGCATTTTTCTTAAATAAATTCTTGATGGATGTCAGAAAAAACTTTGCAGTACTAGTTATGTTTAATCTGGATGTACAGTTCTTTTAGCTGCCATTGTAATGCCTTTTATTCATAGTGGTGTAGAACAAAGATAGTAAAGGTAATAAGGTGAGTGGACTTACATTATTACATTTGTATGTTATTAAAATCCTGTGTCTCTGACTCATTTCATGCTTATGAACAATTGAAAGAATTCCAAGCAAGGTCTTTGACTTGTGGATTGACAGATGACATTGCAGGAGAAGGGTAGGATGATTTTAAAAGAAATCACCATTGAAATGTGGAACCGGGGAAAATATGATTAGTAAATTATATAGAATAACCAAAATGCTGTGTTTCACTTTCTTCTGAAAGGATTTGGGTAGCATATTTAAATAGAAGATAGCTAACAATTTCTGATAATTGTTGCAGTGCATAAGAGTTCTGAGAAAGATGGTTATATATGAAATTTTAGATGACCTTCTTTATGGCCAAGCTCAGTTGTTTTAATTAGTACCAACATCATGTTTTAGTACACGTTGCAGTACTTTATCTCTAAGGAGAGTTATTGTGTCATGTTACACAACAGAAGATATTTCACAGATTTTGGGCTTTTCCAAATCATTTCTGTTACATAGTGATAGCAACACGTTAAGCAACTTGAAACTGTAAGTCTATCTGTTCTTCAATTTAGAATACGTTTTATTGCTCTAGCAACATCTTTCTTCTGAGTAGGCATGTATGCTGGTCCCTCATTTTTCTCACTCATTTTATTTATAAAGCTGCTTTCTCTCATCAATATTTAATTTGTCCTGCTACACATATTTTCATGAATGTGTTGTGAAAGTTAAAGGACACAAGTACATTTTGTTGCAAAAATAAATGAGTTTAAAGGCATTTTCTTATGAAACTTTCTTAGTTGTAAACCAGAAATTGAGTGTATGCAGTCTCATGATGCATATTGCCCTTGGATGTTTTCGTAGACTTGGAGCTACTTCCGAATTGTGGTGGAGCAATGGTGAAACAGGGGCACTTGGATAGGTGTTTTAATTTAGAGTAGAATCATGCTTCCCAAATCCTTTTTTTAGTGGCTGTTCTGTTTCAACAAACCAAAAGTGGTTCCCTCCACTTTTGCTTAGTGCATGCTGCTGAGTTTCATTTCCACAAGACTGCAGCATCAGGAGCTGCAACCTCTGATAGAATTAATTATTTGAAATTGGCAACTGAATCTGGTGAAATCTATGTATTTTGTTGAATAAAAATACAATCAGTTTATTTTTAGGTTTCAACTGCAAGTAAACATTTCAAATGCTCTTTGCCCCCATTTTAACACAGTAAAAAAATACTAGGAAGCATAACAGGTAATAGATAAAATTCTGTGATGTTTTAGAACATTCATATTTTCTTTTTATTGCATTTCTGACTATTTACAATGTTTGTCTTCAGGATAAAAGATCCAAATTACAAGAAGAACAATCAGATTCTGATTTTGTCTGGAAGAGATTAGTTCAATTTATTGATGAAATTTCAGTCAAGGAAACCCAAGAGTCTCTACAAAAAGATTTAAAGACACTACTACAATCTGCCAAACAAATAGGTAAGTTGTAATTCGGAACTGGCTTAATTTTTGTGGAAGGTTGAAGAAGAACTGTTATAGATTAATTTTGTGAAAAACAAATGAACATAAAATATACACTCTTGTCTGGCTGTCTAGCATTCTAGTTCATCTTTTTTCAAAAAGGTTAATGTTCTCCCTATGTTATACACCATGTGATAGTAAATTAAATGATCCAAAATTTGAACAATACTATACCATACTTTCAGGGAAGGAAGAGATTTGAATGTACTTCTAGACATGTGATGACACATGCTGGAAATGCTCTAAGGCACTGGTTCTCAACCTGGGGTCCCCAGATGTTTTTGGCCTACAACTCTCAGAAATCCCAGCCAGTTTACCAGCTGTTAGGGTTTCTGGGAGTTAAAGGCCAAAAACACCTGGCCTTCAACTGAGTAAAGCTGAGTAGGAAGGAGGACTAGGTGGCTGAAATTTACTGAAGTAGCTATCCAAAGCTATTTGCGTGAGGAAAACGTTCCTAAGAAGGAAGAGGAAGCTAAATTGTTAAATTCTTGTGTTGTGTCCTGAGCTGCAGGGAAATACTAACTGAAAGGGAGAGCAAGTCAGAAACTGCTTGTGTGTAATGTATGAGAAAAGAAAGATTTATCTGAAGCATTTAGAAAGACTTCAGTGTATCCTGTACCACCATGTAAAGAATGGAGTATACAAGTAGAAATGTGATATACAGTTTAATATCTGGGTTTGGGGAGGCAAAATGAGGGCTGCCTCAAAAAGAATTGCCCCTGATTAAATTTTCCTTCCCTCGCCACACTTCTACTTTATATATGTATATGCCTTCAAGTCACCTATTCGCTTGTGCCCCTGTGAATTTCATAGGTCTTTCTTAGGCAAGGAATGCTAGTCCAGTTCCTTCCTCTGAAAGCTATTCTATAGCATTTGTGGTCTTCTATCTAAGTACTAGCCTCTTGTTCGATTTCAAGTTCAGATAGGATTTCCTGCTTTTAGGGTATTAACTCTTATGACAATAACTTAAAATTTCAAGGAAAAACTTAGAAATGTAATTTAGGCATTCAAAAAAAAGAGAGCAGGCAACACTGCAAAGGGAAAATGAGCACTCGCAAATATTAGAGTTCTAGATGCACACGAATTAGACTGCCCAACTTTCTAATGCTAGAAATTTGAGAACTGAAGGGAAATATCAGTGTCTTTTTTGGAAGTCCCCAGCTATATTCTCTAGCATACTAAGGAGAAGAGTATGTCTTGGTTCATTGTATTCAGTTAAAGAGAAGTGCAAAATGATAAATCACTGCCATATGCTCTTGTCTCTCATAATTCGATTCCTTTAGCAGAAGCATGTGTAGATCTAAAGAAAGAAAGTAAATGTCTTCATTTTATTGCAGTTTTTAGAGACAGGTTATTCTTAAGGTTTAGTTCTTGGCTTGTGTTTGTTTAATTTTGGGTTAGCGAACATTTGCTCCTCTGCACATTGGTGAACTGCTAGTCTTCTAATGAATAATAATTGCATTCTCTAAGACTGATGGGAATTGAAGTCCAGTTGCAACCAGAGAGTCACAGTTTCCTGACCTCTGCTTTAATGGCTTACCAGATTCACATATGTTTCTAGTATCAATAGGTGAATCAAATGCCTATCTAGAATACCTGTTTACTGAAGATAAAGGAAGTTGCTTAAAATCCTGAGTTGTCATCTTCTCTCATTTTGTTTCATGCACAGTGGGATCTGAGAATGGACAAGAAGCAATTGAAAGTGGTGCTGTTTTTCTTTTTAAAATATTTCACACAAAGGAATCTGTTGGCCACAATGAGACCAAAGCAATCAAACAGATGTTTGGGCCCTTTCCATCGTCCTCTGCAACCGCAGCCTGCAATGCTACTGCCCGGATTGTTTCTCACTTTACTGAAGAACAGCTCTCTGCTCTTCTGCAAACGCCAGAACAGCAGAGTAGTGACAGGAAAGTGGCCTTTGGTCAAAACATAGCATTTTCGTTTGACATGCATGACTTAGATTGCTTTGAAGAACTGCCAATAAATGGTGACATGGAAGAGCAGAACGCTATAAGCTTGGATTACAAGAAATTGCTGAATGACCATTTGGATCAGTTCCCAAATTGCTATGATGAAGATGCTGAGCTCACCTCTTCGGAGAAAGTGGATGATTCATTTCTGTGGTGTGAGGTTGGAAAATACCTGAATGAATCGCAAAAGGGAACTCATGGTGGGCCGACACTGGAACATCTTTGCTGTACATTGTATGAGATGCTTGCTTCAAATAAAAGCGGTGATGAGTTGCAGAATGAGGTAGGATACTCACAAATGTTCACAGCACTCAGGCTGCTTTAGTGTCTGTAACTTGAACCTAGGGTTTCCTTGACTAGGAGCTTTCCACATAGTTGGACTTTTCTGTCCTTGCTTTATTATGGTGGTTTCTGTCTGCCCCCCCCCCCCCCAAAAAGTCTCATTTGACAATCAGGAGAACCTTTGGAAACTAGGATAAAATAAATCAGGAGCCAATTCTGTTTTTCAGAGTATTATTTTAGATAGTTTATATGGAAAATAGCACTGGGACAGTCCTAGGATATCTGTTGATTTACTGTGAAGTGGCAGCACTTCAGCTCTTGTAAGGAATGCAGTTCAGGGAGAATGTATAATATTTGGTCCTTTTCAGTTTTGAATGCAATCCAAATGACATTTTGAATCAATAGAAATTGTTACTATATTGCATAGATATGACTAGAAAAATGGTCCCAGACTGAGAGTGTTATTCTTGTCGCAAACTCCATCTTGGCTCACCATACAAGAGGAGGAAGTCTAGGATTTAAATTTGGTAAGGTTGCTTTGTAGGAACATTATAGTGTAGATATGATGCAACTTCTAGAAGAAACGCAGAAGCTGGCAGAGGGAAAAAAAAGAGATGTGGCCACCCTTTTGCCAGAAGAGAACAAATGAAATTGGGAGTTGAGAGGGAGAACTCTCAGGAGTATATTCCATTTCTCTCAAGATAATAAAAAAGAGATTAGATAGTGGAAAGCATAAGATGAAATAGGAAAATTCCGGTGCAGAGTGATGATTCTAAAACTGTGCTACAGTTCTTCAATATGGTACTTAATCCATAGCATCTTACTCCACAGAGAACCGAAATGGAATTGATGAAAGTAGAAGTCACAGGAGGGGGGAGGAGTGAGATGAGGGGTTACATTAAAGAAATAGGTCAAGATCCTGCAGTAGGAGATGAAGCTATTGCAATCTGGCAAAGACTCATGATACCACCAAAACCTACCTTGAAGCCATCCACTTCTCAGTGTGATGATACCTTAGGGTTGAGAATGAATTGATGAATCCAGGCCTCTGTCATTAGTGAGAGAGATGCAGCAAGGACATAGCTTCTGTGGTCATTGCAACAAACGCACACACACATATACATAGAGAGAAAGAGAAAAAAATTAAATTGAGTCTTCTCTTCTCTTTAGCTCTTGATAAGTATATTTCCTTTGTGCATTTTTAAAAAGAGAGGAAAAGTTTTGTTATATGCCTCTAAGTTTTACCCTTGATCTATCCAAAGGGCATAGCATATTCAATCATTTTGAGCCCAAAACCTGCCCTTGACTTATCCATGAGATCAACTTATTGGCACGTAGATACAGTAATTATGATGTCATCACTTGGGCTCATGATATTGTAATTCTTGAATAGGATGCCAGCTATATGGATCTAAAGGTAGGAAATGAAGCCAAAGAGAACCGGTTATATCAGCCCATTTTCAGTGTCCAGAATGAGTTGGTTTTCATTCTGTACAGTATAGTCGTCCAAAAACGTTCCTTTAGGTTGCTTGTGTTGTAAAGTGATGTGGATCCCAGCAGCAAGGGCTTATCTCTCACAATGCAAGTATATCTATGCTTCCAGGAGAGAAACACCATATTTCATCCTGGCAACTCATGTGTGCTCCCCCAAAATCTGGAGATGGAGAATCATCTGGAGCACAGTTTAAGGGAGCAGGCAGTATGGAGTTGGGGGGGGGGGGKGGAAAGTTCAGTTGCACAAATGGACATATTTATACATGCTTTTGGCTTCTGTCTACTATGTATGTATAAATGTTTTCTGGTTCAGTTTTGCATTCTACCCATCCACCAAATGGCATTCAAATTTGCCAACATAAATAACAAAGTACAGCAACATAAAAGTTAATTTATAAAACAAGGCTAATGTGATATTAAAATCATATAACTAATTGAAGCAGTATATTTATAGATCAGATTAAGAACTTGGGCCAGCTGATTCAATCTGTTGTACCTGTTAGCTTCGCTAAGCAGAGTTTTTGCTCTTTTGTGTCAAACCTATCAGTTCTGTGAGGCTAAAATGAAATAGGGATATATTTCATTATGACTTGTGACCTCATCACACTAGAGAATGAATTCACTTTAAATCTGGTTGCTGCCTCCTACAGAATTCTGGGATTTGTAGTTTATCGAGGAGCCTTTAAGAGCCTCACTAAACTACAGTCCCCAGAATTCTGCAGAAGGCAGAAACTGGATTTAAAGTGGATTCATTCTCTAGTGTGATGAAGCAGCTGTTCTGATTTTAATAGATTACTTAGAAACAAAACAATTGGTGTCATTTCCTTCTAATTCTCATAAAAACCCATGAAAGATTGTGTGGGTTTGTTTTGGGGGGGGGGGGGGAATAAAATTGCACAGCAGATATGAATCTTAACTGGAGTTGAACTCATTTCACCTTTTTATGCCATGTATTCTAAAAGCTGATCTTGTCTCACCTTGGAAGTTAAGCAGTGTCAGCTCTAGTTAGTATTTGGATGTGAGACTGCCATCAAAAACCGCATTCTGTAGGCTAGATTTCAGAGGGAAGAAGTGGCAAAACCATTTCCTATTCTTTGCCTATGAAAACGCTATGAAATTCATAGGGTTACCATTTCGCCTTCAAGTTGAATGCATTCATACACGACATTGTTCTATTTTCCAGTTATAGGCATATTATCATATCTTCTTCTGCCAACATCCTTTAATCATGTGGTAAAAATTTGGTACCAAATCTCTGTTACCTTTTCTATCACACTCTGGGACCAATGTTTGTTTGCATTTGACAAACTGCAGCCATAGAGGGAGGAGTGGCTTATCTCAGAGCACCTTATGATAGGGAGGAGAGACTTTTAAAAATGTGCAACATTTTTCTCTTCACCCTTCACTCCATGAAATATTTCTGTCTTCATACCCTCTGATCCATTTTCATGAGGCAGGTTATCATATTTGTGATTGCATAGTGGTTTTGTTTTAATATTCCTCTGGGAATGGATATATGTGATTGTGGCTAGAGTAAGCCATGGTTCTTGGCATGTTACTGTGTGCAAACTGGGAACCATGGTTTAAAACTGCAAAAACAACCCATATTCAAATTGTAGGTTATGAATTTGGTGTATGTAGAAATCACCATTTATTTCAAACCAAGATCAATGGTTTATACATAATAAGCGTCAATACAGTATTGTGATTTTGCTCAAGATTACAGACACTTTTGTCTGTAATTCTACACGTTGGTAGTATTCTGCTTGGTTAAAGACTGGCCCTTGTGCTTCCACTGTGAGCAGAAATTGTTTCCAGTAGCTACTTAAAAGTGACAGATCCCCACTTGTGATTGTTTTTATTAGTTACAAGTTATCTTTGATGGAATAGTTGCTCAACATAATTATCTTTGACATTGCTGGACTTCATCCTTTTCAATGCTCTTCCTAAAGCTTTTGTTCTAACCATACAATATGACCTTCAGCAAATTCTCTGTTGGCTTCCTGTTCTTTACAGCAGTAAACAAAAACGCTTTTAGGCTTTTCCAGGTGGGTTGATAGCAATAAAATTCTCCAGTGGTGCTTGCTCACTCACATTGAATTGCCAGAAATTCTTCCTATTCCTCCCCCTTGCCCTAGTCTATGGCTCAGGCTGGGGGACAACATGTTTTAAGAACTTGCTTTAGTGTAATGGCATCCATATAGAAGCTGGAATTGGGTTTTTTTCCACAGTTGAATGTTGTGTAATTGTTTTCCCATGATTTAGTTTCTATATCCTACTGTTTCTGTATGCCCTTTGTTTATAGTAATTCTAAGCTTGACTTGGCAGAGAACATCCTTGTTATATATCACTGCATTGCCTAGAGTATTAGGGTCTTGACTTGTAAAGTTAAGGTGCCATTGCAATAAAATATAGTTTTAATAACCACAGTTGCCACCCTGCCCAGACTTGGGACTTAAATGGCATTAAGTGGGAAGCTGACCTTTTGTGGACCAGATGTCTAATTGTCTATGCTAGTCCCATTTGTTCTCTGAACTAAGCAGAGGATTTGTGTCACTAGCTAAGCAGAGATATGCAGAGCACCCATGGAATAAAAATTAAAGGCCTGAGTAAGAGCTGCTTGCATTGTTAGTTTAAATGCTCAGATAACAGGTGTTGAGTAAGCTCAGTCTCTTTGAGACTGACACACTCACCCTCAGACATATAGCTGTCGTAGAATCATAGAATTGAAAGAGGCTGCAAGGGCCATCCAGTCCAACTCCAATCTGCCTTGCAGGAACACAAAATCAAAGAACCCCTGACAGAGAGTCATCCAGCCGCTGCTTACAAGCCTCCAGAGAAGGAGACTCCACCATACTCCAAGGCAGCATATTCTACTGCTGAACAGCTCTAATTGTCAGGAAGTTCTTCTTCATGTATAGGTGGAATCTCCTTTCCTGCAATTTGAATCCAACTCAGTAGATAATACTGAGTAGATAATACTGAGTTGCATGGACCAATTCAGTGGGACCGAAGTGTCAACTAAGGTATGATTCCAAGATGTTCCCCATTGCACACAGTGGATGCCCAATTCCCATTATATATGAGTGCAGTAAAATGATGTTCCTTATATAAAATGGCAAAATCAAGGTTTGCTTTAGGGATTTTTTTCCCCATATTTTCTTACCATAGCTTGTTGAATCCATACATGTGGAGTGCCAACTATAGTCTGACCTGATCAAGAACAACTCATTATAATTATAAATCTTTTTTTATATCCCAATTTTCTCCCTCACAAGACCCAAAGCGGCTTACAGCATATTAATGTCATTGAGACAACAATCCAGATACATATATCCAAACCAATAAAACCATCAATAAAATATAAATATAAAGCATCTTAAAATGAACAATTTAAAAACAGAATATATATTCATGTGGCATCATGTCAAGTTATATTGCACTTCAATCCAGTCAGTAACGTTATGGCACTTCTGACTAAATTTCTTTGCTGTCTAAACAGGAAGT